CCCAAGAAAGGGGGGATAAATGGTTTAAAAAACCAAAATAACCCAGCATAAGTGCTTTGAAAAGAAAAGAAAATTTTAAAAGGGAGTTGTGGATTATCAGAAAATCACATAAGGAAAAATGGTTAAAAAAAAAAAAAAAAAAAAAAAAAAAGGAGAAGTGGCTTTGAATGCCCCCAAGCCCCAGGAGAAATAATTGAAAAACCTCAAAATGGGATCAGCGATTTTAAAAGCCCCAAACTGGGATAAATGGTTTGAAAAGGCCCCAAAATGGGGAGAGCAGTTCAAGAGGAGGAGGATTCAAAAAAAAAAAGACAAAAAAAAAAGACAAAAAAGCAGGATAAGAGATTTTAAAAGGAGAAAAAACCCAGGAAAAGTCATTAAAAAAAAAAAAATTAGAAGTCTCAAAAGCGTGGATAAGTGGTTTTAAAAGGCCAAAATGTAAATTTTTTAATGTGCAGGAGTTCTCCTATAAAACCCAAAACGTTTCCAATAAAGAATTTTCACACAAACAGATTTTTCCTCCAGGCCTGGCCCCTCCTCAGGACAGGAGATCACAGAACAAAAACTGAGGCTTCTCTGTGGTTGAGAAAATAAATGAAATTAATTCCTTTTCCAACTTGGCTGTTGCTTTCCCTCCCTTTTTTCTTTAATTTCAGAGGGTGGCTGCACCCAGAGCTCAGAGAGCAGGGCTGGAGTCACAGCTTGAGTAGAAAAGGTGGCAGTGAGGTAAAATTAAAATAAATTAAAATTAAAATTGAAACTGAAATGAAAATTAAAATTAAAGTTAAAATTAAAACTGAAATTGAAATTAAAGTTAAAATTAAAATTAAAATTAAAATTAAAATTAAAATTGAAATTAAAATTAAAGTTAAAATTAAAATTGAAATTAAAATTAAAATTAAAATTAAAATTAAAATTGAAATTGAAATTGAAATTGAAATTGAAATTAAAATTAAAATTAAAAATGAGATGCAACAACTCCCAGTGGGCTTGGATTTTCTAATTCTCAGCTGGTTGGAACAAAATTATAAATCCGTGAGACAAAAGTTTTTTCTCGAGTTATTCTTTCTTTTTCAGTGAAAAGGCAAAACAAAATCAGCGAAAATCAAACTAACAACACAGCAAAGGGCTCGATTCACGTAATTCCGTTAATATTTGCTCTGCCAACAAGTTGCTCCCGATGAAAACACAAACAAATCAAAATCAATAAACTGATAACGGGAGTGATGGTGGGGCAGGTAAAGTCTCGGAGCTTCCTGGAAAAAGAAAAGTGAAAGCTCGACCTGCTACAGATCATTATTAAAAAACAAAATGAAAATAAAAATAAAAATAATAAAAAAGGAATAAAAATAAAAATAAATACAAAATAAAAATAAAAACAATAAAAATTAAAATTAAAATTAAAATAAAATCATAAAAAAGGAATAAAAAGAAAAATAATAAAATGGGAATAAAAATAAAAATAATAAAAAATAAAAAATAAAAATAAAATAATAAAAAAGAAAGAAAAAATAATACAAAATAAAAAAATAATAAAAAGGAATAAAAAGGAATAAAAAGGAATAAAAATAAAAATAAAAATAAAAATAAAAATAAAAATAAAAAATAAAGTAGGAATAAAAATTAAAATAATAAAAAACTGAAACTAAAAATAAAAATAATAAAAAAATTTAAAAGGAATAATCCTGGCCTGGGTCTGCTCCCCACTCTGGGTTTGACTGCCAGCCCTGCTGGCCCACACTGCTTCCCCAACCCCAGCTCCAAATGAGATTTTCTCATATATATGATGTTTATATATTATTANATAGAATAGAATAGAATAGAATAGAATAGAATAGAATAGAATAGAATAGAATAGAATAGAATAGAATAGAATAGAAGAATAATGAGAATATCTAATTCTAGATGATATCTGTGTTATTCCACACTGTGTCATGTACTGGATTTTGAAGCCTTTGTGCCCAGCTTGCTCTGGCTTTGTGTCTCAGGGCCAGGAGCTGCTGTGGGTGCCTGTGCCCTTCTTTGTTTGCAGGGCCACACCAGGCTCAGAGTCCCAGGCTGCAAAGTTTGTGCTAAAAGCACATTTTAATTGGCAGGGCCCCAATTAAAGCAGGAGCAGCTCCCGGTGTAAAGTCCTGAGCAGAGGCTGGGCCTGGTGCAGTCTCCAGAGGCTCAAACTCCCCGGGTATTTTCTTCTTTTCTTCTTTGTCTTTTCTTTTTCTTCCTCCTCCTCTTTCATGTGATGATGATGATGATGGTGGTGGTGGTGGAAGAAGAGAGATGTCTCGCTCCAATACACGGATTTTTATTTACAAATTACCCAGTGAGCTGAAACCACGAACCTGAAGCATTTCTTCTGAACCTTTTAGAGTTCTGGTTTAGAATACAAAAGTTCAGGTATAACCTGCACGTATGGCCTCGCCGGTTCTATCTGAAGAATGTAAACAATATTCTTTCTGTATTTTTGTTATGTCTGGGACTACGCTTGGGAGCTCTCACTGCAGCTTGGTTTTCAAACTTGTTTTTCACACTCACTTCTAAGGCTTTTGCTCTTTAAGGCACTTAAAACATATTCTTACTTAAACTTACTCAAAACTTAAGCTTACAGCTCTATTTCATACATTTCATGGATGAGTGGCTTAATATACTTTACTTTATCCAAAGGTTTGAATTCGATTTGTGCATTCTGATCTCAAGATCTCTGAGCACCCAAATTTCCAAGCAGATCTCTCCCAGCCAGGGCATTGAGGCCCACGCAGAAATTCCCGTTCCCGCGCTGGTTTCCTCATTTCAATTTGTCACTGGATGTAACAAAGCGCTGCTCCCTTCCTCCCTGCCCACTCGGGTTCTCTTTTATAATTTATGTATATTACACAGAATATGTGTATATTAATATATGTACATCCAGGCCCTGCCTCCCTCCCGAGCTCAGCTCCAGGAACGGAATTCCCGAATTTTTTATTCCCCAAACCCCGCGTCCTTGAAGGCACCTCAGCATCTCAACCCCCCGCGCGATCCCGGCTTGGGTCTAATTTCAGGAATTTAATTGGGAAAATGTCTTCTCCCGGCCTCGTGATTTTATCTGAAAGGAAAAAAAAAAAAAAAAAAAAAAAGAGAGAGAGAGAAGGAGAGAGAGCAAGGAAATTTGGGGAATTGGGGAATTTTCCTGGCTGAGTGCCGAGCACAAAGGCGCCTCCCCCTCCCTGTCCCGACCCCGTTCCTGCCGCTCCTCCACGTGCGCTCCCGGCACGTTGAACTGGGACAGCCCAAAAAAAGGCTCCGGGGCGCTGTCACAGCCGGGGGTGGCGGGGAGGTGGCAGGGAGGTGACAGGGTGACACTGGCACGGGCTGGGAATGCTGCGAGCAGCCCCAGCTGGCACCAGGGGGGCATTAGGCGGGATCTGGGGAATATTCGGGGAATATCTGGGGGATATTCCTCCTGCCCAGCCCCGGGGGATTTAAAAGCCGTGTGGATGTGGCACCTGGGACATGGCCAGCGGTGGCCCTGGGGGACGGGTGACCCGGGGGTTTCCGTGGCTCCGTGCTGCCCCAGTTTCCCCAGCACGTCCCGCCCTCGCTCCCAGCTCTGGGGGCAGCTGGGGTGGGGAGTGTGTCCCCGTCCCCATGGGAACGTCACCATCTGTCCCCCGCTCGGTGACATCCGCCCGGGGCCGCTCCCAGTGCTCCCAGTGCTCCCAGTGCCTCCAGCTCACTGGGGAGGGAGGGAGGGAGGGAAATTCCCCTGAGGGGGGCTGTGGGGCTGGGCCGAACTGGGCCGAACTGGGAGCAGCTGAGGGGCTGCTGGTGCCCCCTCCCCAACCTCATTTGCATTTTTTACTCATTTCCACGTGGACGCAGATTTTTGGCGTTTGGGGGAGTGGGGACACGGCGGGGACACGCGGTGGCTCCTGCTGCCACAAGAGCCCGGCCATGACTCAGCCATGAAGAGCCCAGAGGAACGTCCTTCCTCCCTCCCTTCCTCTTCCTCCCTCCCTGCCCTTCCTCCTAAGTAAAGAGAATAAATAGAATGGAAATAAATAGAATTAAATGGAATAGGAAGAACAGAATGGGGTAGGAGAACTGGACTAAGCAGAAGAGAACAACTGGAATAACGAAAAAGAAAA